CGCGCGCGCGCCGCCGCGCCGCTGCCGCCAGAGCCTTCGCCGCCGCCGCCTCCTCCTGGAGGTGTGGCCCCGCCGCCGGACTTGCAACAGCTGCGCTACGTCGAGTGCGGGCGCGCCTGGCGCAGAGAGTGCAGCCCATAGCAGACCCGTATCTCTCTAAATCTCCCCGTATCTCGGAGCCTAGATGCGGAGGGTGCAGGTCCGTACCTGCGATGTTTACTTGCGTGTGCTCGTGACGCAGGCGTCCCGGCTACTGCGCAAAGGCGCGGCCGCACTGGGCGCTGCCAAGCGAGAGGCAGCCACACCCGAGATGATCCGAGAGCACACGAGATGGCCCGAGCTTACCCGAGATTCTCCGAGATTAGGCACTCGGTGCGGTGCTGCTCCGCTGTCAGCGTGCCCGGCTGGCAGCGCCACCCGGGCTGCGCGGTCTGGGCGGAGTCGGACGGCACTCGCATGGGCGGTTGCCACGTTTACCGCAGCTTCTTCCAGGCGGCGGCGATCTGCGCGGCCGCCGGAGGCGAGATGACTCGAGATCAGCCGAGATGACTCGAGATCAGCCGAGATGATTCGATATCAGCCGAGATCGCCCGAGATTGTTTCGTGACACAGAGCGAAGCCACTCTCACAGCGTATGTTTATGGGTCTCTTCCCGCAGGCCGGCTCTGCTCGTCGCGCGAGCTGCTCGACGGCTGCGCGAGCCTCACCGGCTGCAACCACGACAACGACCTGATCTGGTCCTCCACCGCAAGAGAACCGGACAGACGCCTCCCGCCGCCGCCGCCGCCGCCCGCGCGGGCGCCACCGCCCACGCCGCCGCCGCCGCCGCCGCCGCCGCCGCGTGCTCTCTCCGAGCCCTCCTGGCGCGCCGGACCGGGCGTCGACGTTGTGTCTAATGTGTCGGGGCGCCGCCGCTCGCCGCCACCGCCGCCGCCGCCCGCGCAGCCGCTGGCGCCAAGATTCTTTGACATGGTGTCGCGGTCGTGGGTCTCTGCTGACTGGGTGTCGCCTCGCTGCGACGACGACCCCGCCTACTTTGACCTGTACGCGTGTCGGGAGTGGAGAGGCCACCGCTGCCGCCTCGGCGCCGCCCAGCCTAGATGCGCAAGAGCAGCAGCAGCGCAGCCTCAGTTCTCAGATCGGACAGGAGATGGCGGCACGCTGGAGCGACTCACTGACCAGAGACGCACGAGACTCGACTGGTTGAGAGACCGCACACGTGTCACAGGGCTCAGCGGTGGGGATAGACAGAGATCCGACGAGCGGTGCGAGATGCACCGAGATCGACACCGAGATTCGCCGAGATCCCACCCGGGGTGCACCTCGAGGGTAGGTGGTTACGGACTCCACTCGACGGCCCGCGTCGCGCGCCTCGTGCGCGCGTGCCCCGTCTCGTGCGCAGACGGCGCCGTCGCGGCGCGCTGCGCCAAGCCGCCGCCACCGCCGAGTGCTGGCGCCGTCGCGGCCGCGGCGGCGCCCCCCCCGGCAGAGTGCGACAGCTCGCTGTGCGAGTCATCCGGAAGCGACTGCTGTGCTCCGCTGGAAGCGCGCGAGGCGGCGCGCTGCGCGGGCGGGTTCGTGCCGGTCCGCCTTGTGGGCGCGGCCGCCACTTGCTACGGGTGGAGGGGAGGCAAGTACACTTGCTGCCCTCCCTCCATCGCCTCGGGCATCCTCGATGCGGGGGCGGCTCTGATCGCGCCGGCGATCACGGCGCCGACGGCGGGGGCGGCCTCGTTTGCGGCGGCGACGGTGGCCGTGCGCGCGCCCCCGCCGCCCCCACCGCACCCGCCGCTGCCGCTGCCGTACATGCCGCCCCCGCCCCTCACGGGCCTTCGATACACCGCCGAGTGTCGCCCGTGCTATTGCGGTCAGTGCAGCGAGCCCTGCTATTACGACCCGACTTGTGCAGACGGCACGGGCGCGGCCGGCTGCCAAGCGGGCGGCAAGCCGAGCTGCCGCTTCTGCGGCTTTGGAGCGTTCGCGTCGATACCCTGCCCGCCGAGTTGAGGTAAGGTAAGGTAAGGAAAATTTACTCCACACACACAAAGTGGTGGGGCAAGGGGGGGCGACCCTCGCATCTCCACGCCCGGACACGGGCAGGAGCCCCAAGGCATTCAAAGTGCAAGAGCACCGGCCCGGTGCCGTGGGTGATGGGTTGAGCAACCCCTGCAATCCACTCCACTCCTCCCTCCCTCCAAGACACAACTCCCGCACACAACCCCCACAGCGTGGACGACTACATGTTCAGAAACACCAAGCAGCGAGGCGAGGGTGAAGGGGTAAGGGGCTGTGTGGGGCAGAATCTTCATCCGGCTTACTCTTTACGATCACACAGTTCACAGACTACGGCTTTACGTACAGTACTGCCGAGTTCAATATGCAATATCGAACAGAGTCACGAGAGTCAGTAGACAGTACACAGTAGTGGAGTAGACAGTAGTGGGGTAGAGAGAAACAAGTTGCTCTCTTTCAGTCTGCCGTTCGCACGCGTGCCTCGTGGGCGACTATTAGACAACAAGAGGGAAGAGGAGAAGGTGGACACACCGCCCGGCCGCTACGTCGTGGCTGGTGGTGGTGATGGTCTAATGGTACGATCTGCGATCACCTCCACTGAGAGCCACACCATCGCCCGCTGCCACCAGAAGCGCTGCGACGGCGTGACACCGGCTGTGGATGCCGCTGCTGGTCCCACCGCCGCCGCCGCCGGGGCTGGCGAGTCGGGCGAGGAAGAAGCGACCGCTGGCTCTGTCTCACACGTCCGGCTCGGCCTGCTCCGCCACCTCCTCCCCCGGCTGCCGTCGGTCCCAAGCGGGCTCTGGACGGCGGCGTGCTCCCGGAGGCAGTGGGCGCACTCCTCGTGCCCCGCCGCCTCGGCCCACTCCAGCGCTCTGCGCTGATTAGCGTCCTGTAGGGACGCGTCTGCGCTGTGCTCGAGCAGCAGCCGCACGACACCGGGATGATTGCGGTACGCGGCGGCCATCAGAGCCGTGCCGCCCTTCTCGTCCTGTTTGTTGGGCTGCGCGCCGCGCCGCAGCAGCATGCTCACCACCCGCTCGTGTCCATGAATAGACGCGATCATCAACAGAGTCACGCCGCGCAGGGGACTCGGCCACCCAACCTGGACCGTCGCGTTGACCCGCCCTCCGCCGTCGAGCCAGTCCTGCAGCGCGTCGCCGTCGCCGTCCTGAGCCGCCTCGCGCACGGCAGACGGCATACCCTCGAGCGCCGCCAGTCGTCGCGCGAGCGCCTCCTCCCGAGCTCTAGACTCCACCAGTTCGCACTCGAGCGCCGCCACTCGCGCCTGAAGCCCGAGCACGCCCTCGGCGGGACGGAGGCGGCGGCGTAGCTGATCTAGCTGAGGCTCGACAGGCTGCTTGCTCCTCCGTCGAGAGCCAGCTGCGCTGGTCGACTCGGCGGAATGGGCTGAAGGGGAGAAGGACAGACCGACCGACTCGGAGGAGAGAGGGTGCTCGTGACGCAGCTCGTGCGGCAAGGGGCTGACGGTGACGGGGCACATGCTATCTGTTGAGGACGAGCTAGTCAGCTCGACGGATGGAGGGCCCTTGTCTTGCATTTGTCATGCAAGCATGTGGCAGCCGGCTGGGCCGTCGGGGTTTTCGAGTTTGTTCCCGGGTATTGGCTGGTGGGTTTCTTTTGTTGAGATGCATCAGCCCCTACCGACAGACCGACGCTTCTCAATGTCCAATGAGAGACACAAGACTTCAACGTTCAAGAGGATGACAAGACTCATCGTACGAGGCGCGCGCTGTTTCAGTGCGCGTCGTACGCGGTACGGCCGGTGGGCGTAACCGTAAGTCTTGTATTGCCATTGATAACATTGTTGCAGCACATGTATTGCCATTGGTAACATTGTTGCAGCACATGTAATTCGCTTTTTTCTAGAAGAACTCATCACATTTCTCAGGTCGTGTCGGCACTTGCTGGCCCAGCGGTCGCGCGCAAGCGGCAGCCGTCGTCACAAACACTCCGTGGCGCTGCGCCCAGCTCGCCTGCACCTCCACGTCCAAGCCCGCGTCCGCCTCGAGCGCGCGGAAGGCGTCCGCCTAGTAAGGTGAGGTAAGGCGAGGTAAAGTGAGGTAGGGTTAGTGAGGTAAGGTGTGGTGGGCCAAGGGCCGGGCAGCTAAAGACGAGGAGGGCCCCTGCGCCGCGCTGCAGGCGTCGCGTGTGTGGTGCGGCGGCGAAAGGGCCGCGGAACGTCCGTCCGCTCCTCTAGCGCAGAGCTGCCTAGGCACCTCTGGCGGGGAAGTCCGGGGCGTGTCTGAGGCGCGTGTTCGAGGCGCGTGTTTGGGGACGTGTGTTTGGGGGCGCGTGTTTGGGGGTGTCTGCGCAAACCTTGAGGACGGCGCAGCGGCCGTCGGGCTGGGGCAAGACAGCGATCGAGTGCCACGGGATTGTGGCGGGCAGCAGCGGGTGGATCGCCTGCATGCTTCATCATTCTCCTGACCCGCTTTGATCAT